CAGTAACTACGATAGAAAAAAAATGCCAAAATATCGGCTATGGGAAATTCTGCAATACAGCATGACTACATACAAGGGAACTTACCCTTAGGAAAGATTCGAAATCAATCTCGTGTGTCAAGTCAGGATATGAATCCTCCAATGCAGCTCTCACTTCATTCTCCGTATACATCCCATTGATACCCTTAAGTTTTGCAAAAACCGGCGGCAAATCTGACACCGTAACATGACCAGATTGCAACTTTAACGCAGAAAACTGAAAACAAGCCCACAATATTAATGTCATCAACCAATCAAACATATCATCTACATTAATTAATCACATAACAACATCTTATACTACAACATCAACAATATCAAATAAACAATAATCAAAAGTCAAAGAATTCAAAACCTTAGACTTGAGGCTGCGAAGTTCCACTTGGGTAAATTGACTTTGCAACCGAGGATCAGAAACAAGTACACCCTCAAACCCAGACATCTTTGAAATGTGCCAACTTTTTACTCTTTTATTGTTCAGTCATCAATTCTATCATCAAAACTGCAATTAACCCACCATTCTTCATCATCATCACAATTCCAATAAATGCATAAATCAAATGCAAGAAATCAAAATCAAAGAATATTACGGGGTACAATGTGTTAAAATAAAAACCCATTTGTGAAGTGAATTTTATAAACTGAAAAATTACATTATATCTCATTATAAACAACATTCAATCATCATCAAAACTGCAAATAGCCCACCACCATCAAAAACACAATAAATGTAACCACAATAAAATGCAAACACCTTAGAAAATTAAATTCATAGAATAATAATAAAAAAATAAATAAATAAATAATCACCCATTTAAAAAAAAAAAAAAAATCAATGAAAAAGGCAAATTACCCATTTCAAAAATTCAATACCCATATAAACAAATTGATGATTCATCTTACGAAAAAAACAAAAACAACCCAAATGAAGGAAATTGAAGAAATTTAGAGAGAGAAAATAAAAAAACAGACCTTGTCATTCAGAATGCAATGCTAGAAATGGAGGAGAGAGAAAGAAAAGAAGAGATAAAAACGTAAAAATAAGGACTATAAAAGCTCACCATTTTTGTTCCTTGGAGATTAAGGACTCTGTTGATTTCGCATGACAAGGAATTTTATTAGTTTATATAATTAGTTTATTATAAAAAATTATAGTTTGATGCTTCCAAGTTATTTTGGGAAGAAAATTTGAATAAATGTTTGACAAATTAAAACAAAAAAATGTTGTTTTTTTTTTGGAACGTCTTTCCAACATGTGTGGACGGTGGGGGTGTGGTGCGGAGGTGCGGTGTGGTGGGCCGTACAAATTCGGTTGGACGTGTTTAGATGTTCTATATTGTTTCGAAACCATTTTCTTCTTTCATTTCTTATGTTTTTCTCTATAATGTTGTCCAAATTAATTTGTTTTCATGTAGTATTAATTGTATTAATTAAATATGATTAGCAATATAATACTCCGTACTAGGTTTGATTTAAGAAAAATGATACTTGCATATAAAGGTATTGATTATAATCCTAAATGTTAGGTCTGCATATAAGGAAGTAAATGTGATTAATTGATTATGTGAAAATATTAAGTTAAATCAATCATTAATACACTAGTTAATACGTACGTAATTTTGTCATCCGTTTAGTAGAATATCAATTTAAGAAGTAACCTTGATTTGAAGACTTCCCGTTGTATCGTTGGATATAGGTTTGTTAAATTTTAAAAGTTCGACCTAATATTTTATGCCTCAAGAGTGTGTTCAATTCATCTATTTTTTAATTATTTAAACTTATTTTATTTTATCTAAACTTATAAGACCACCGATCTTATATCAAAACTTAGAGGATGTTTTGTTTAAAATTCTATAAGTACTTGTATTCCCGCGTAGATTTAATCTTGTACTGAAACAATCACGACATTCCCTTCATAATCCACGAATACAGAGGCTTTTTATTCGAACCGTGCGCATTTTTGTCAAAAAGAGATGATCCGCCGTTATTCGTGAAGGTTATTGCGTCAAACGCTTCAGTTATTTACTTATCCCCTCAATTACTGTTATACCCATTACTTTTAAGTCAAATTGACACATATATCGGTTTACGACATATACGGTATACTACATATACAAATATACCCCATTACCCCCACAATAGAGATGATCAAATTGGGTCCGCCCCAATTTTGGGCTGGCCATGGGCATAACTTTTCACCTGCCCCGATTATTTTAAGCGGTCCATAGACAAGCACTTTAAACATTTTGAGGTGTTTTAGGCTCAGCTCTTCTGGTTTGGGCAAGGATTTTCGACCCAAATCTTAGCCTGACACGGCTTGATATAACCAACTGATTTTAAGCCTCAAGCCCCACCCAATGATCACCTCTAATCTACGGCTCTACCCCTGGATAAACATTTCAAGTTTATAGGCTAGATGAACTTGGAATTTTTGTATGAAACCATACTCTAGACCCACCTTAAACCCAACTATGTCATTGGTTCGTTGGTGCTTAAACATGGGGTTTGCAGCCCACTAAACTAGATATTCGCCCCAGCCACTCTTGATTGCCGGCAATCTCTCTCCACTGCCGCCGTATTCTGGTTTTGGTACCCTTTTCTCTCTCATTACTATTCACCCTTTTACTCTCTTTCTTTTTAACAGGAATTAAATTCATTGCTCCCCCAAGTGAAAGAGTGTAATTTCATGAATATTCAAAAGGGAATACTTGACACAAAGTAATATAGTTTCATGGTTTTATCTGCTTGGATTTGGATTCTGCATTTCTTGTTTTGGTTAAATTAAGAACATTTTAGCAAGGATGTGAACAATTTTCAACTGGGAAAACTGGTTCACATTGTACTCATCCTGATACATTATTATTATTTAAGGAAAAAAATAAAACAATCAACATTTGATACTTGTATTTTCTCATTTAATACTGTCTTTAATATGAGTGTTGGAGACTCACGTAAAATTACACTCGGGTGTAGAATGGACACGGTCGAGTATTAGAGTGTTAGGTACCTTTATGACTTGTGATGTTTCTTACTTGCTGCTAAATGAACAGTTAAATTGATTTTATTTGATCGACTATTATGTGATTTGAGGTGACTAATCTTTTATCGTATACATCCTATGTGTATGCATGGATATATTTGGAAGAGAGGATGATTTGAGAAGATATGTTGACAAGGCTTTGGAAGGCACAAGGTTACATTCTATTAGACGATCATCATAGATTCATAGCAGTTCAGGATTTCAGAAGTTTCTGGAAATGAAACTTGAGTTTTGCAAGTTTTTTACAATGTTCTCCATAATTTTAATAAAATTTGTAGTACTCTTGAAGAAACACTCTTTCCTTGCTTTTCACATGCTCCAATGTGTTGCTATAAAATATTACCTTGAATTGACCTTCTGCTTCTTCACCATCTTGATTCTTGAGTATTCAGCATATACAGATTGTCTTCAGACCAAATCAGTAAACTATTCCCATGGTCCAAGATTTGCATACGTCTCTATCAACCCAATTCGCCAAGGTTTGTCTTGAGTAAGTAATATGAGAGACGCTCGTCTTCCCAGCAATCCTTGTAATGGCAAGTTTTCAGCAATTAATCATGGTAATGCATGTTCATTTTTTTCATCATGTTAATCTTTCCTCTTAAAATCAGTGAAGTTTTGTCCTGGATAATCTGTTTACATGTCTGATGTGGATTTATCAGACACGAGGCACCTAGCTCACTTCATTTGATTGGCACTTGAGCTGATCTAGTGTTCATTATGATCTAAGGTGTTGATTTGATTTAAAGACCGACTATAATATTTGTGATATCATGTATGATGACAGTATCGAACTATAACTTGAGCTCCTTATGATTCCTGTCATCCCAGAATAGTAGACTAGTACGACTTTTGACAAAGATTAACGGAAAGAGGATATTTTTCACTTTAGTGTCCTTTCTCTATGCTTTGTAGTAGGAACTTAGTTATGCTACCTAATCACAAAATTGATAGATCCTAAGAAAAATGTGTAGGGTAACTTCATCTCAAGTATTTCTTAGTCTTTCCAAATATCCATTACCTGGTGTTTGACTGTTTGGATATCTTAAATGAATGACAAAAGAATATGGCTTGCAACTACTGCATTGTGAAAATCGTGACTGTTGTAGCTTACGATCTATTTTTGAATAGATGAGTCCTATTATGGAGAAATAAACCACCTTATGTAATAATTTCATGCAAATCACCTCCTTTAGGCAGTCAAATTGATAATTTTATTCTTGCAATGCTCAAAGTTGTTATACTACTGAGTATATTTTTTTATTTTTTGTTTGGGGTACGAAAATGTACAATATACGTGATCAAAGATCTCAATGGTGCATTTTTATCAAAAAAAAGTTGAAAGACAGTTTCTGAAATACATATATAAAATGTGATTTCTGACAAAACAATCTCTTTCTATACATGAAACTGATTTACTGAAACTGATTTAACCGAATCATGTTTTTGTTGTAGACAAATCTTGTTGGATCAATTATTGATGGAATAGTTGCTTGTGCCAGCCACTGATTAGGCATTGTATATTGTGGTGTCATGTTGTTTGCACAATCTTATTTAATTTTCCGATTAGGTGATAAGCCCCCTTGTTTCCTTTAAAAGTACTTAGTTATGCTCTGGGTGATGCTTAAAATATACAAACCATGTTCATCAACCAGGAAAATTTATATAAGTGTACTCTATTTTAATAAGCTTGACTAATGCTGAAACTTCAGGATTTGCTGTTTGATTACAAATATCTTAATAGTATTCTGGATCTATAACATGTGAAGCAACTTTATTACTCTGATTTTTTTCTTCTTTTTTTGGGAGTAGAGTTTGCTGATCACTCACTTATTAAGTATTAACTAGTCTAACCCTTTGGCATTATCATAATCTTTTACCTCCCATCAGTCCACCACACCTGCTGAACTCTGAAAGAAAAATGAATTTTGGAACATTGTCTGTTGTCCAAACTCTCCTTGAAGCACTGCAATGTTCTCAACTCAAAGATGTCTGCTCCATCTTAGGTTACAAGTCAGAACTCGATCACCTCTGTGACACGGTCTCTGCTGTCAAGGCTATGATCCACAATGCAGGTGCCCTGCTAGAGGTCCCCCATGAAGCACAGCTATTGATTCAGGAGCTCAAGGATGTGATTTATGATGCTCATGATTTGCTTGATGAGTTTGTTACTCTTTCTGAGCAGAAGCAGCTCATAGAAGATGGCAAAGTTTCTGAAGAGGTGTGTCTCTTTTTCTCTCGTTTCAGCCTGTTTGGTGTTGCTTACAAAATGTCTCAAGGAGTTCAGAAGATCAGAGAGAAGTTAGACACTGTTGCTCGTAATGATAATAAGTTTGGCTTTAGTCTTGAGTTCTTACCCATCAGGAGGAGAAGAGAGAAAACTCGTTCGAATGTCGGTGCAGATTATATTATTGGGAGAGAGGATGATGTCTTCAAAATTTTAGGTATGTTGCTTGATTCAGATGATGCTCACCAGGGTGTTAAATTCCTTAGTATTGTGGGACCTGGAGGATTGGGCAAAACTGCTCTTGCCCGACTGGTGTATAACCATGAAAGGGTTGTAAGTGCATTTTCTCTGAGGTTGTGGACTTGTGTCTCTGACCAAGATCAGAAACAGTTCGACATGAAGGAAATTTTTAAAAAGATTTTAAGATCTTGTTCACAGCAGAAGCATGATGGCCCAGCAGATCAGACGCAAGACCAACTTATGGAGCAAGTGGCAGGAAGGAAATTCTTGCTAATTTTAGATGATGTATGGACTGAGAATCTTGATCAATGGCTTAAGTTGGCAGAATTCTTTATGGAAGGTAGAAGAGGATGTTGGATTGTGGTAACAACACGTTCCAGAGAGACAACAAAAATTATAGGAAATGGTCCTGTATATGAGTTGCAAGGCTTATCAGAAGAGAACTCCTGGGGTTTGTTTGAAAAAATGGCATTTGAACAAGAAATTCCCCCAGATGACTTAGTCAAGATTGGGCGAAAAATCATTGAAGGATGTGCTGGCGTACCTCTTGCTATAAGGGTGGTAGGAAGTCTTCTATATGGTCAAGGCAAGAGTAAGTGGATTTCAATTCAGGAGTTTGGACTAGCAGACATCAGAAACAGCAAAGACATCATGCCGCTATTGAAGTTTAGTTATTGTCACCTTGGATCTTCGTTGAAGAGTTGCTTCAGTTATTGTGCATTGTTTCCTAAAGATTTTGAGATAGAAAAGGAGTGGTTGGTTAGCCTTTGGATGGCACAAGGCTTTGTTGTCCCATTAGATGAATGTCAAAGCATAGAAGACGCTGGTGAAGAATATTTTTCAATGTTGTTACAGAGATGTTTTTTTCAAGATATACAAATTGATGAATATGGTGAGGTTGTCTCGTGTAAGATAAATGCTCTCATGCATGATATTGCTGAAGAATCTGCAGGAGAGGAGATAAGTGTAGCGAATCCTTTCACCTGCAACATGGATGGAAAAGCTCACCATCTATCCGTTATGAGAAGCAAATGTACAGTTAATTTTTTCAGCAAGAGTCAAATTCGTACCTATCTTCAGGTTGGCAGGGTGGACCAGTTATCTACAGATCAATTACTGGAAAATATGACTTGCCTAAGATCATTGGTCTTGAAGGATTCGGGCATTCAAAGTCTACCGAATTCAATTGATAAATTACTACATTTGAGATGTCTAGACCTCTCGGACAATGTAATTCTGGAAGTGCTTCCTGAATCAATTACAAACCTCCATAATTTGCAGACATTAGTATTAAGATCCTGCATCAGATTAAAAGCGTTGCCAAAAGATTTGAGCAAGTTGGTTAAGCTCAGGGTATTGGATGTAGCGGAATGTTATAGGATTACTTCCATACCTTCAGACTTGGGTAAGCTGACTTGTCTTCACACACTGACTAAGTTTCCTGTGACAGCAAGTTCAAGTCTAAAGCAATGCTCTGATCAACTAGAAGGCCTAAAAGCTCTTAAAAACCTCAAAGGACAACTTGAAATGCATATCCAACTTTCCAAGAATCTGAAATATGTTAGGCAAGACGATATGGAAGTATCGTATCTAAGGAGCAAGGATCGTCTCAATTATATTCGGTTTTGTATTGAACGTGTAGAGAGTGATGCAAGCATTGTTTATGAAGAAGCCATGCTAGAAGACCTGCAGCCACATTCGAATCTCAAGCGATTGGTGTTATTTGGGTATCACTGTGTAAGAATGCCAGGTTGGGCAAGGGATTATAGCTTGGCAACCTTCCTCCCAAATCTTGTTAGGTTAGAACTATCATATTGTCATAACTTGAAATACCTTCCTATTCTTGCAAGCCTGTATCATCTGAAATTCCTCTCTATTTTCTACCTGCCAAATTTGGAGTACATGGATTCTTTTGAGCCAGGGTTAAGTGAACAAAATCTCCTTTTCTTTCATTGTCTTGAAGAGCTTCGGTTATGCAAGCTGCCAAACTTGAAAGCATGGCATAAAGAAGAGGTGGTAGGAGATTATCTGCGCGTTGGTGGCATCCGAAAGCAAACATCTCTATCATCATTTCCCTGTTTTCCGCAGTTGAAATTATTGCATGTACGAGAATGCCCGGGAATGACCTCAGTTCTGTTGTGTCCAATGATTGAAGATCTGGAACTGTACATTTTTAATAGAACACTGCAAATAAGTGTGATAAGAAAGAGTTGGGATGAGAAATGGGAGGTCACTTCATCCTCTTGTCAATCATCATCACTGTCAGATGCTAAAATTTTGAGTCTTCCTAAACTACAATCCCTGAATACAGATAACATAGAATGGTACAAATCGCTCCCAACAGAAGTTTTCCAGTGTCTTAATCGTATTTGTATATACTGGGACAAGGAGCTGGAGAGTTTGTCACAAGTTGAGGAGGTTTTTCATAGCTGCTCGTCTTCTCTGCAAATCCTGATAATATGCCTTTGTCCTGAACTAAGAAGTCTTTCTGGAGGGTTGAAGCATCTCACCGCCTTGGAAACACTGGTTTTAGAATATATACCCAATCTCTTCACCAGCCCTGAATCAGAAGAGGAAGATGGAATACCATGGAGATCCCTTCATCAATGCCTCCGTTCCTTGGAATTGAGGGAACTCCCAAAGCTGGTGAATCTACCAACAGGAATGCAGTACTTAACTAACCTCCGTATCCTTAGAATTTGGGAGTGTGAAGAGTTGCACTCCCTACCTGCTTGGTTACAGAAACTTACTTCTCTGAGGCAGCTAGATGTTCGAGGCTGTCCTCACCTGTATGAAAGATGTCAAAATCCGAATGGGGAGGATTGGTCCAACATTCAACACATCCCACATGTTTCAATTAGATAGTGATCGAATCACTTCAGTACTTCTGCTGCTATTAGCAGGTCTAGTTGTCAGTCAAACTTTTAAAGTTTGAATGTGTTGCAGAAGAAGCTCTTTCTGTCTTGATAACACCTTAGCAAGGATATTCCTATTATGATGTAGCTGAACATGAAATTGCTGTTTTTTCTGTTAGGACATTTGCTGATAGAAGCCTATGTAATCTACCTTTTGTGCTTAATATGGGAAATTTTTGCATTTTTAGTACTGATCACTGCATTTTAATCAGCATTTCGCAGTTCTTATTGTTTTCTCGCAATAATTTGTGCTCAAATATTTTTTGTTTGGTCAGTTTATATCGACTTTGGTGTATTGTCAATAAATCATCCTCTTCTAACCCTAGTTGAAATCGAATAGCAGGAGCATTTCACTCAATCGTTTTCTATCTAGAATCATACTTCGTACTGACCATGTTGTTCCGAAGATGATTTACAGCTTACGGTGAATGAAAATCTAGTTGCAACACACCTTAATTTGAGCTTTGGTGGTGGCATCATCCACTATATAGTTTAGTTAACCAGCAAGATCTTAATTGATTGTAGGCCGTTGTAAGTGATCAAACTCAAAAAGTAATTACAGTGAGAGTTTCTAAATTGCAGACTTTTGAGAAGTGAAGTTTTAGTAACCAGCATTTTTTTTTTCATAATTTTACCTACTTTAAGGGGCAGGGTTGGTTTATATTCCCACATTTAACTTCTAAAAACTTTGAACAAAATGTAACAATATTCCTCAAAGCTTATGAATTAAGCCCATAATGTCCTATTTATAAACTAACATCACCAGTCTCAGTCGCCACTCTATGCAGTCTTGCTTGTGCAGCTGTGCTCGCTATGGAAACCCGAACCCTGATTTGTGTCCTTGAAGATATAATAATAAAAAGAAGCTTATCAATTATGAGGTGAACATAGTCACACAATTACCATGACAAGCAGACCTTTATACCTTTGCTCATTTATAGTTTTTCAGATCACTTCTATAGGACTCCCAAGTATATTTGTCCGTCTGTATTAGCATAAAATTCTTTTCCCATCAAAGTGAGCAACTTGATGAAAACAAAAGAACACCTAATGTGGCCCACCAATAATTCATATTACAGCTTTGGTCTTTCCTTCATCATCAAGATCCAAAATATAATTAAATGCAGTCAAGATTAAGAAAACATAAAAAATGCCAAGTTCTATAAAAGAACACATGGGCAACATATATACTATTGCACATTTGTACATTTAATCAGGAATCAAAGTGTATAACATGATAGACATTTTTTTATGTCAAGAAGGAAAAAAAAACAGAACCAACAAATCTGAAGAAGAACTAAAATTGGACATTGACAAAAGGTTTTGGAAACCAATCTCACATTCACATACAATGTTTTTCAATATAATCTCGTCGAAAAAGGGTGGAATAAAAGAATGATGAAACAATCAAAGGTACTACTATTGGGAAAATACCCACTTCATATAAGTTAAATGACCAACAAAATCCCTTCTTACAAGAACAGGGCAAGTCCTGCTAATGCAAGAACCAAGCTAGCCATGACTCGACAGGAGGCTGAAGAATCTAAGGGTTTTGAGGCAGCTGGTGAGTCTCCGTCTTTGGTCACATCTGCAGGAGAATCAGCAGCAGCAGGAGCAATTTCTGGAGCCGGTGCTGGGGCTGGCATAGGAGGAATGTCGGTTCCGAAGATGGCCTCAGGAAGGAGCACCTTGTCAACCTGGTAAATGGCAACAGGTTCAGTAGAATATACACTGCTGCTAACCTTGGTGACACTCCATCCTGAAGTCAGATGGATTGTGCCCGAGACATCGGTGAAGTTCAAGGTGTAATCACCACCAGCGAAGGTGTTGACAGGCCCTATGGTACTGAGGTTCTTGAACTCGGCGAGAGAGTAGTAGTGTGGCAGGGCATGGAAGAGGCACAACTGCTTAAGCTGGTCATGAGTGAGGTTGGACAGAGAAGGTTTCTTAAGGGCTGAGAAGGCACTGTCCTTGGGTACAAAGAGGGTAAGGCCTTCATCAGTGTTGTTGGCTTGGTTTTGCAAGGTTTCAAGCACTTTGGTGGATTCTAGGTAGTTTAAGAATGTATGGAAAGGGCCAGCAACACTCAGTAATTCAGTCAGGTTTGCATAGTCTGGAGCTGGTGCCGGGGCCGGAGATGGGGTTGGAGTCGGACTTGCAACAGGTTTGCCCTTCTTTTCAGCATTGGCCAAAGGAGAACTCAACATCAACAAAGTAGTAGCAAATAAGAGTACCATGGTTTTCTCCATTTTTGCTATTTTAAGAAATACTCAAAAGTCACAGATTTGCCAAAAATTCACCAAATTCCTGCAAATTGACCAAAACCCATCAAAGATTTACACTTTATTTGAGTAAATCTTACAGAAATTGACATTTCAACAAACCCCAGAAACAAAATGTGCAACTAAATTAACAATAATTACAGATCTTGGTTGGTCAACTTAGAAAAGTAAATCAGCAACTACTCACAAAATTGTCAGATTCAGAAAGAACCGAAAAACTAGTCACATTGAAGCTACATGCAATGATTAAAACAGAGCTAAGCAACTAAAAATGTATCAAATCAGTCAAAATCTTAGTAAACTGAACATAAATCAGCAAAACCCACTTTAATTAAGCTCAAATTCTTTGCTTAACATAAATTAAAACCTCCTACATTGGTCAAATTCATCAATTTTTCAAGTAAAACAACACAGTTATCAGTACAATATTGCATGTACATCAGCACTATAATGCAAATAGATCTAGATCAGCTAATATAACAGTAAATCAGAAACACCCACAAACTAATAAATTATTCTCATGAAATGTGAATAGATCAGAAGCAAGATTAACACAGAAATCATGAATAAAATGAAAATTAAAAAAATGTAGAAGACTGACCTGAAAAAGGAGAGTACAGAGAAGAGGTGAGAGAGTGACAATTGGTAAAGAAGATCTAAAATGTGAGAGTATTTAAAAGGGAAGTGTAATTGGCAGGTAAAAGCTTACAAAAGTTGCTCATGAGCTGGGATTTTTATGTTAAAATAAGATTTGGTTGGTGCTAAAATTAATGTATGGTTTTTTTTTTTGTTTTTTTTTATTATTATTATTATTATTATTTATTTATCTAATTAATTTTCAATATACAAGTAGTAGTATAATGGTATGTATACTTTGTATATGATGAGTGTTTTGATGGAAGAAGAGATCTAGAAAAATAAGTAAGGTGGGATTTCCAAATCAGCCCTCTCAAAACTTATAATTGTTGTGTACTACTGGGGGGTCTCCAACCTTGCACTCTACCCCATCATTGCCATTTTCTTGCACAATTGCTTGGTTATTTCCGGAGGCATATTTGATTAATATTACAATGTAGAAATTTTCGTTCCCTTTTAAAAATGTGTATTGTGTTCGAGTAAAAACCATGCGGGAACCAACTTATTTTAATTTAGGTGATTAAATACGATTTCTTATTAAAGTTGATCAATATAAGATTAATGTTGTGTACGGTATAAAGTGATATTATATGGGATGGAGAAAATGACAAAATGTTATACCATGGAATACAATTTTCGGTACAAATATATACCACCTACACCATGCCTTGCAAAATTACTACTGTATTTAACTTTTAAAGCACTTTCTTTTAACGTATTTTATATTAGGGTTTTAAAGCATTTTCTTTAATATTAATATTATTGTGTAACACTTTATACTTCCTCCGTTTTTTGTAACACTTTATACTTCCTCCCTTTTTTATTAGAAGCATCACTTTCTACATATGAAAGTTTCAATTTAGATGCATCACTTTCCCTTTGAGTCAATAAATTCTCTCTATCTCTCATATCACATGGACCTTCTTTATTTTATCTCTATCTTTCTCTACCCCAAAAATTACCTAAGAGTCCATAATATCAAAAGTGATGCATTTAATAAAAAATGGAGGAAGTATTAGGGTAACTTTTACCATTCATGAGGTGATTTATGTAACTTTTTGGTTATCTTTGTACATTAGGAAGTAATTTGAAGATGATAAGTTTTTAAGGGTAATATGGTATTATTAGTACTCTTATGAATTACTCCCTCTGTCCCATAATACATGACACAGTCAAACATTGCACATTTGCAAATGCACTAGTTTGACTTTATCTTTATATAATTAAATATTAATGAAAATTATTTTAAAAATTATATTATGAAACTTTATATTAAAACCTATCTAACAACATATTTAATGATAAAATATATTTTTATTATGTTAGTAAAAAATTATGGTCAAACCTAATGTATGAATATTGAAAAAAAATCCAACATCTTATGTATTATGGGATGGAGGGAGTAGGAGTAATTCTATTTCAAGAGATCTAATCATTCTTTTATAAAGATACAAACTTTATCAGCCCATAAAATACATAATACGATGACATCGATCTTGAACATCGTCCATAAACAAAACAATTTTACAACAAAACTAAGTTCATGTTTATAACAAACCAAACATCAGATTATTACAAGAAACCTAAACTTGCCAAAGTTGCTACCATTATTCTTTGTATTATACAGGAAATTAAAGAAAAAGAATTGCTGTAAAGTAAATAAAATGTTTGGGCATGTGGCATGATGAATGATGCAACTCGTTGGTGATTAAAGTGGGCCAAACCCAAAATCCCTTAGTTGTGCGGAGCTATGATTGTGAATATCATCATTGTCAGTAATTTTCATGATTATTAACAAGTCATTCTACTCGTACCAAAGTTCACATTCAATCCAGAACGTACAGGAGCTTTCTCGTAATAACAAAGCCTTAGTTCTAAAATAATTTAAAGTCGCTAATATTAATTGCTAAATAATAATTTCTTAGTTACAAAATAATTTGAAGTCAGGCAAATAAGAAACCGTCGGCGAGAATGTGAATCAACCAGAACACGAGATAATCAAAAATACAAAAACCTTAACACTTGTGTTAATAGAATTAGTTTATATTGGATAGCTGAGTATTTGATATTAAATATATGATGTAGGAGATTAGTCAACATCAAATTGTCACATTTAATTATTATTAAACAACATTAAAATGAGAAAATAATACTGGTTAGAATTAGGAATGTGAATGTAGGACCAACCAAATGATTCGGTTTCGGTATAAGAGGGTGTCGGCTGTATTGCTTGTTTGATTTCTAGCAGTAGAAGCTAAACATATTGCTATTTGCTGATGTCAATACTCAATATATCAATGTGTTTTGAATGATAAAAAATTTGATTATTTAAGTTGTTTATGGTAATTATATATATAGTTACACCCTTAATATGGTTATTAAGGGCCCGTGCGATGTCATTATCAATTTTTTAAATTTTGGTGTTTTTTTTTTTTTTTAAATTTTTTTTTTTATAGTTCTTGCCTTCTTGGTAGGTAAGATTATTGATCATAGGGTTTAAGATTAGTCATCTAATTAATATAGGTTGTATATAATTTAATGAAAAATAAGTGTACCTATATTTATCATGTTTAGTTAAAAATTGACGGAAAAGCACCCTAACTTTCTAATTTTTGTTAGTTTTCAAAATAAGTGTAGTGAAATGAATCATCAAAGTAAGTTTTCACGTTAATATTGTTGATGAAATCATTAGTTTGCACGCAATAATGTTATAGGCCATCAATTTTTTAGTCATATACTCTCTTTGTGTCAAAATAATTGACAGAGTTTTACCGGACACACATGTCAACACACAAGTTTGACCATTAATAATTTATATAAAAATATACATCAGTAAAAATTATAAAAATATTTGATATTATGTAAATATATTTTAATACTATTGAACTAAAATTGATACGAAGTAAATAAATTAAAAGAACTACATATTATATCTTGATATATGTTCATCATCTTTGGGACGTTTTCCCAAAGTAAGCTTAAGTAGCAAAATATATACGTAAATGGTTGCGTGGCAAAATTATTTACCAAACTAAGCTTCCAGGGTAAAACACTGTCTCATACAGCGTTTTATGCCCTGGTTTTTTTTTATAAAAAATTCAACTTAAAAACGCTGTCTCAGACAGCGTTTTACATGTTGACTTTTGTTTTTTAAATTTCGTAATTTTTGATATTTAAAAAAAAAAAAATTACACTAAAACGCTGCCTGAGGCAGCGGTTTTAGTATATAATTTTTTATTTTTTTTAATTTTTTTTAATTTTTAATTTCTAGTTTAAAAACAAAAAAAGAAAAAAAAAAATATTATACACCATTGCGTTATTATGATAATGATTGTATTCTTTGGGGTGGATAATTATCAATATGTGATAATGATTGTATTATTTGGGTGGATAATTATCAATATGTGATAATTATCATGTCGTATTCGAGTATTGCGGTTGGGGTTGGGATACGATTGTTGCTTCCTATCTTCTTCTCCTCTTTGTATTTAAGTCCATATTCACATGATTGCAATATACTGAAAATACATATGCTTTGATTGCTGTCATTGTTTTGTGTTTAACAAAATCAATTCATGAGCAAATTCTACATACCATCCAAAACGAAGGTGTGTTGCTCAAGTAAAGCCACAACAGAGGAGAGAAAAGGTTAAAGGTAGGAGTATAGTGAAAGTGAAGGAGAAAGAACAGTAGAAACTTTGATTAAAGGAGTGAAAACAGGAAGAAGGTCAAATAATTGGTAAAAACCAAATATAAAAAATCCTAGAAGGAGACACTAATCTATAGTGCATGAACATTACGTGTAGAACAAAGAAAAAAAAAGGTTAATTAAGCTAGGAAAATGGGGCAGCTCAAGAACACAACAGCTTTAATATTTTTTTTTCTTTTTTTATTTTTAAACTAGAAATTAAAAAAAAAATAAAAAAATTATACACTAAAACCGCTGCCTCAGGCAGCGTTTTAGTGTAATTTTTTTTTTTTTTTAATATCAAAAATTACGAAATGTAAAAAACAAAAGTCAACATGTAAAACGCTGTCTGAGACAGCGTTTTTAAGTTGAATTTTTTATAAAAAAAACTAGGGCATAAAACGCTGTCCGAGACAGCGTTTTACCCTGAAAGCTTAGTTTGGTAAATACTTTTGCCACGCAACCATTTACGTATATATTTTGCTACTTAAGCTTACTTTGGGAAAACGTCCATTTGAGCACATCATATTAGAACTGTGTTATTTCATCTAGGATCATGTACATCTTGTAACTTGACTTTTTATGTCAATTGAGATGAATTTGTCGAATATGAATACTAAAGTAAATATAATTAGGACTATTATTTAATGTTTTAAATTAAAAGATCTCTCCCCCTCCCCCTCCCCCACCCCTCCAAAAAAAAGTAGTAATAAAATTAAAATCAAATGATATCATGTAATATGTTGTTGAATTAGTCTCAAATTCTCAATGTATATTTTTAAATATTATATTTCATAATTTTTTGATACATGATTTCATATATTTATAGTCATACTTTTATTGATACTATACCAATAAAACTGTTGCGAATATTCAGAACTGATCGAATAAATTTTTTTAATATGCACGTAATAATTCAATAGTCACTTCTAATTTTCTCTAGAGCTGGGTGGGTTAGTTCTAATTTTTGGATTGTATTAATGTAATCTGGCTGGGCTTTACAAGGTTTGGATCCCAAAAAGTAAGCCCACTTGTCATTAGATAAGAAGTAAGATTTCTTTTGGATTTTTTTTTTTTGAAGGGAAGATTTCTTCTGGATTCAACACAAAACTTTGTTCAAATTTTAAACACTAAACAAAACCAATGTCAAAAATTCCAAAAATCACAATCATTGATGTTTGTAATTGTAGGGTGTTCTTGTAAGCCACAAAATTACACTTGAACTGTTCAATGGTCATGCAACCAAGCACAACCAAGTTGATTGCACCCGGCGACCGATTCAAGTGCCCGCCTAACCGCGTGATAGCCAAAGAGTTTTAGCAATGGCACAACACGACTTTGACCCTTGGTGCCTCATTCTCCATGCAAAAGCAAATGAAGGGTGAAAAGACAGTTGGGCTTCGGCACTTTGTAGAATACTAGATATTCATGTTGGTGGCTTGTAATAAACTCGAGCTCCGCTGAACTGCTACAGAAGTACAGATAGAAAGAAAAAGAATGAAACTTCTACATTTTCTATTAGCCTGAAAATGATTTGAGTCTCGAAAAATCAAAGGTAGTGCGAAAAACAGCAAACTGAACAAAGTCAGCTACTCCTATTACACAAGAACATCTGAGTTTTTTTTTTTTTTTTTTTTTTTTTTTTTTTTTTTTTTTTTTTCTTTTTTGTTCTTTTCCATTGATAAGTTTGAAAAAATAAAAAGAAAAGAAAAGAAATGTCGCAGCCATTTCAAATTTGAGAGCCTATATTCATCTTGAGAGGATAAATCCGGAGTGAGGAGTTGGATATAATTTGGTGAAAAAATACTCGATCATGCACAACTCTTATGTAGTTAACCAATCTTTACGAATGTCAAATGTGTAATTGATCTCCAAGTAGCATTTGTTATCATCATCAAGAAACTGCAAAATAAACAGGAAGATATGATTTAGTTCATGACACATTTTCATGCCTTTCAAGTTGCTCCGCGACTTTTGCAAGCTGTGGAAACATAATTTTTTACATGGTATAGCCAAGCAAGCAACATTAAAGAGATCACAGTTATCACTACAAGAAGAATTCTAGTTGCTTAAATAGGCTAGATGTTTTCCCCAACACAGATCATATGGGACTCCAAGATTTAGAAACCGTGTAAATTTTTTGTATGTTTATAATGAGGCAGTAGTAAATTATTTGATGATTAAAAATAGAAGCTATGATTCTTATGAACCTTCTATGATCTAGAAAAACAATTTATTAAGAACAGGCAAAATGGGGAGCATGGTACCCTGGACTGAGACAGCAAAATTATAAAGGAGTAGTGAAGATAGATCACTTCACATCTTTCACATGAATGTTGGTGACCATCAATGTGAATATGCAAGATAACCAAGGTAAAGACCCTAACAATTTCTACAATTCAAAATTCTTAGAACTGTGACCGGAAGGCATCATAATGGACGGAAGAAGGATACAAAAAATCATCTAGTTGAAACTTGACCTGAGAAATTTTTCTACAAGAGAGTTACAAGATTACAGAATGGAGTGGTGAAGGCAGAAGGGTAATTTCAGCAGTAAAGAAATATATTTTGAGAAAAAAAAAAGAAAGAAAGCAATTAAATTTGAAGTATGCAACAGCTCGTTAAATGATTTAATCTTTCCTGTCGATAATAAGAGTTAAAAAAAAAAAAAAATAAAAAAAAAAATAAAAAAAAAGGTACTCTGGGTTTTTGAATAATCAGCAATGTGTCAACAATAAATTCCATTGTAAAATTTTGGGGAAATATTACTGATAGTGATACACTGATACTAGATAAATTCTAAAAGTTGAGCACATAAGCAAGGAATATACGAGTATAGTTGAATGTGACTGACCTTTGTTCTAGCAGTGTATGATCCTCGCGCAAAGTAACCAGAAGGGGTAGTTTCCTCTGGCATCTCATGTGTGTATGACTCCAGTTGCGGACTAAAGGTTCCAAGCATTTCCTTAGTTTTGTCCACTGTAAATAGGATCAGTTAAGCCAAAGGTTTCCACTATCTTTGATCTTCAATATTCAAATGAGCTGAAGAAATACTGTAACAAAGCTTACCTTTTATGCCAGTTTTCCATACAGTGTTAGTGTACTTTAGCCCAAGTACAATGTTATTGTTAACCTGGAATGTAAATCTCAATTTGTAACGGCTACCTTCCTTCAAAGTAAACCAAGGTGATTTTGGTTTTCCGTCCTCTGGAATTGGCAAAAAGATGTCAGGTCTGTCTGGTGAAAGAATAGAAAGGCTTAGGATCTTCACTTCTGGTTCTAGGGCTTCTGCAATACACAAAAACCGAATTTTTACATGAGTGGCAGGAAATCGAAAAAGTTTCATGCAGTAACATACTAAATGATTACAGATTGTGTTACAGTAAAAAACATACGAAGTAATAATGAATAATTCCCTTTTTACTAGCCAAATAATATAATGCTTAAAGTTTCCTCATTTACTTAACAAGTAATGATGAAGATGCTATAGTGTGGCCTGGAGATGCAGTTGCTTTGAAATTATTAGTTAAAGCATTAATCATCATGTTGGACTACCTTCCCCATATACACAAAATTAATCATTACGCGGGGATAAGTTACATGCCACATGTCAACTAATCCATTGGAGCAGTAACTTAAGTGACCTCATTATTCAAGCCAAGGACCCTTCAACACAAAGAGTCATTAACAAGGAATGAATTAGCAAATCAAAGCAAGCGCAGTAGAATTGTCCATCTATACACCACTTTTTTCTTTTCCAAACACGGCGGCTCAATGTCCTCAATAAAGGAAATTTCAAGAGGTGCCAAATTTTCACCCAAATTAACTATAAGCAGTAAAGACTACGCTAGAATCAGGCGAGCCTTTTTCCATTTGTTACTGTAACTTTTCGATTTAGCTTCCAATACCAGTGTGCTCGTGTTAACACATACTAAACTCTTTAAACAAATACATAAACTTAAGCACTATTATGCAAAAATTAATGGAAAATTATAGAAACAATTATATAACATGTCGATTTATGATTAAAAGATAACCGAAACATTCATAGAACTTGAGTAACAAGATGCCATCACTGAAGCACCAGATCCTCTCGAAACTCTAATTTTAACTGTGCACCAGGCAAATGTAGTAAATCATCAATGATGCCCTCAAAACTCATATTAATCCTTTCCTCAAGCTGGCTCTAATTTGAGAAAGTCAAATTTTCGAGGCATGTATGATCCCCAACCAAGCGCCTATAGATGCCCTTCCTTAACTTGGTTCACAAAAAGCCACCCAAAGCTTCAAATGAACTCTTAAATTAGCCTAATCACACTCAGGATCTCAAGAATTAAAATTACCAAATTTACCACCCCCACCTCCTCTGAATGATTCAATCATTGTTGAGCTTCAAACACCAAAAATCATTGACAAATTTTCGCTATAATTTGGTGCCCTTACTATACAAAGATCAGGAGGCAAACTGATTGCATTTACCTAGCTTATATAAAATGGGACAAGTTTTCACAAAATTATAGGACAAACATCATATAATTTACAAATGACATCAATGCAATATAATTGAACTATCATGAATAAATCTCTTTAAAAAAAAACTATAATGTATATCCAATCAAATAAAAATAATTAAAAATAAAATCATGAAAATAGAATATACCTCCAATTTCATTCAAATCAACACTTCCAAGGAGTTGTTCCTTCCACTTCCTCAAACTCTCATCATCCTGCATTCCCAATTTTACAACATACCCATTAACAAAGTTTCAATCTTTTAAAAAAATTCAAAAACAAAAATTAACAAATATTCAAAAAAATTATAAAATAAAATAAAAAAAAATGAACAGACCTTATCTTTTTCTAATTGCTCTTTAATGGTGAATTGTGGGCCCAATTCAAGTTTATTCTCATAATCTTCTTCCTCAAGATCAGTTGTATAGAGAGAATTCTCACTCATTTGCCTCCCAAGTTTGTCTCTTTCATCATTTTCTGGGTTTAAAATCTCTTTCTCTGCTCCACTTTTCTCTCCAATTTCCTTATTCTCATCAAACCCCATTATTATTATTTTTAAATTATAACCCAATTACAACACAAATTCGAAACAATGCAGGACAAATTTGATGAAGAAAAGAAAAACCCAGAAAATAAAATAACAAGAACAGAATTCCCTTTAACAGAGGAACCAAAAAAAATGATGAAAGAGAGGAGAAATGGAAAGTCAAAAGAGAGAGATTGATTGATTGATTGAATGTTGATGATGTTTGTTGTTGTGGGTTGTTGGTTAGCTGATTAGAGAGAGAAAGAGGAGAGAGAAAGAAGAGAGAGAGAGAGAGAGAGAGAGAGAGAGAGAGAGAGAGAGAGATGAAAGGGGGGAAGAAGAGTGGAGAAGAAAAGGTTTCTTGTGGTGATCCGGAAGGACCGGAAGGAGCGAGGAGAGAGAGAGAGAGAGATCGTGAGGTGCACTAAGAAATGAGATGAACGTGAGGATCATTACTAACTGGAGTAGTTTTGTACTTTCTCTAACAACGCATTCTCTGTGCCTAAGATTGAGGCTTAAAGAATTCGTCTTTTTGTCTCTTTTGTTAATTGTTATCCCCCAAGTCTGCTGGATGGGTTTGTTGGAGTTTTGTCAAGCAGTGTCGGATCCGGAAATTTTGTAACGCGTTTAAGTTAGTTATGTCGTGTAGGTTCTTTTTTTCTCTTTAATGTTGTCACATAGAGTATAATTATATTGGTAGATGTCATCTTATTTTGCCTCATTTTTGTTATGGTATGTTTTACGGAGTACTTGCATAACAACTAAACTTGGTAAAACTGATCTAAATTGACAAAATAATCAATGCTTCTAATAAGCATATTGACAATAGAATCGAAAATGACCCAACCTGGATCGATCTAAACTCGAAATCAACCTGAACGAGCGGTACTCGAAAATTACCCGATTCAAACGACCTAATTGACACCCTAAATTAGCAACTCAATCGTGTGCAACCACGTGAAGACACAAAAATAATAACGATAAGAACTCACATGGCTTTCAATGAACTAGCCTTTAAAAACTCAATTGATAGAGATGAGACAATTGTAGATCGACAAAAGAAGTAATTTTTAATAACATAACCGAAATAAAGAATTGTGCTAAAACTTTCAACTTAAATACCTGAAAAATTTAGATATAAACTCGATATGATCGGATTAAATACATTAAATCGAATTTGGGCAATTCATATAACCGAATTTGGGCAATTCATATAACCAAATTTGGATCGTATCCGGATTACACTTTTTCTAATTTCATGTTTATGAATCCAATCCAAATTTAATTTTTTTTGAACAACGATTATTATTACTATATCACGTTTCATTAAAAACCAAACAAAGGTAGGAAAAACAAAAGGTAAATCCCATTGTCTATTCAACCATTGTTTATATTGGTTGATCTTCATATGAAATCCAAGGAAATTCGTAGTGAGTACTTGTCTAGTTGTGAATTGTGATATATCCTTGACATTGCTTTTGGCGTCACTATGCTCATATTAAAGAAGTTCATTTAATAAAAAGTTAATATATTCATAGTTGTCAGATAAAATTAAAACAATTTAGATTTAAATGTCCAATTATCAATTCAGAATAGTTACCAAATAAAGCTTGGAATAGTAAAAAAGTTTATATCTGAGATCAAAGGTTATTTGTGGATGGGGATTCTCTTACCCTTCCTCCTACTCCCAAAGGGCCGTATTAGACATGTGAGACGTTCTGGCTTGGTAGGGCCTTTCTCTTTAACAAAAAAAAAAATAAAATAAAAAAAAATAAAATTATGTTTGTTAAAAAATCATAATTACATTGGATAACCAATTTGTTCACCCTAAATCCTAAAGTAGTAGCTAATATCATTGTTTTGCATGACTAATACATTTATTTGTTAATGGAATTGAAAATTTCTAAACTAGGACATGTTGCAATTAATCGAGATTGTGCCTTAAATTTTAGACCTTGTTCACTTCACCTTAAAAAAAATAATATTCAGTAAAAATAATTTCAGTTTAGTAAAAATAAGTTCAGTTTAACAAAAATAATTTAAGTTCAGTAAAAATAATTTCAGTTCAGTAAAATTCAGTAACCATAAAGAAGAAATATAATAGAGAATCAGTAAAAATAATTTCAGTTTTGTAAAAATAATTTCACTTCAGTAAAATTAATTTCAGTTCAGCAAAAATAATTTCAATTCAGTAAAATTAATTTCAGTTCATCAAAAATAAGGTGAAGTGAACAAGGCTTAATTAGAGATAGATGAAATATTCTTTTTTAATTAAATTCAAGGCTAACATTCTCTTAAAGCACATTCATTAATTTTTTTTATTTAAAAAAAATAAAGAAAAAGATTGCCCTTAATTTAATTCTATTGTTTAGATTCTTGTGTGGTTGATTTTTTCTGAATCATAAATTGTGTTAATTCTAACTAAACTTTAGCAAAAAAACGTGAACCTATCAAATCGAAACATCTGCAACTAGCAAAACAAGAAGATTTTGACTTTAAACCGATTACTTGACGGTTCGAATTGATACAATGACTACAATCAACTATGCTAATACAGTAAATATTGCCTAATCTTTTCGAGGCTCTCAATGTTTCACAACGTTGATATTGCTTCGTCTTCGATAGGATCTTATTTCTGAAATGTAAGATACTCTATGCAATAAGCTAACTTTGTTCACATAGATGATGACCTGAAATATCTCATATTCTAACTAAAGTAGTTTTGGTACATGCAACATTGGTGTTTTAGAGGACATCTAGTGTTTACACCAATCTATTGGGCAAAATGTATATACAGATAACATAGAAATGGCAAACGGCATCATATCGTATGCGCCCCGAAACTCAGATAAGAAAAAAATTGGCAATGATCCAGTGTGACGACAAATGGAAATACAAAATGAAACTCTTTCAAGCCTTCACAGTTGACTCCTGACAATTGGTTTTGTTCTTTCTCCCCCAAACTGGAGTACTCTCAATGAGCTTATGAGGGACCAGCCGATGTTCCCGTTTTGTAAGCTTCTTGAAATTGCTGACTCTGAGTTTTGCTATTTCAGCCTCTTCGTCTGGAGTCAATTCTCTTACCGCCACTGTCAGTCTACACTCTGGTTTCATTATTATCCCATGTCTCATTTTGGCATGATAGCTTAGTCTTTTTTTAAAAATTCCTTTACCAACAAAAGCTTCAGCTGCAAAAACCACAGAGAATAAAGATAGTTGTCACAAATTAAGCCGTAGCAGTACCTAAACTCATAAGATATGCTGTTGTGTAACATACCAACTAAAAGTCTGTCTGGATCTAATCCATGATTATGGACAGCATTTGCACGAGCCGAGTGAACCACCTGCATATGCCCATTAACACTATGTTTAAGTATAATCAAGAAATAAGACAGACATCATCATGTCAGATCATCAGCAAATGACAGTTCACAGGCAATAAGAGGAGGAATGCACCTAATAGTAGAAAATGGCAAGTTGATACTCATAAAAGGTAATAAATGGGTAGGAAACAAGGAGGTGAGAATGAATCAGCCCCCCCATGACACTGGCCCTAGACCTCAAGGGTTTCAGACCTTATAAACAAGATAGAACCTGGAAAGCAAACATCATTTAGAACTCCTTAAGTCAGGAAGTAACAGAAGAAATCCTAGCAATGGACATTTCTAAAGCTGATACACAGGAATACAGGATGAGTTTGAATTGATAGGCACAAAAACGGTAAGCCCTCAGTGAAATCTGTATACTGGCATCCATTGCACCCCGCAAGATTGTCCTCAAGACATTTTGTGGAAAAGCCTATGGAAGGATGCTGATAAAAACCCTTCATGGTATTCTGAGATTGCCCAATCAGCTCGCTTCTGGGTAGCTTCAGCATTAGGCATAAACACCTCTCAAATTTCAGAAGATCCTGTAACTGCTAGCAGCAACCCACAACAAAGAGAAAGGTTGAAGATTTTGATGACTGCCAAGAATTTATACAGTAACAATGGAGGGACACTATAGAACTATGAGATAGAGAAGAAAGATTGATACTTTAATTAACAGAACACGAATTGCACAAAAGATAGGTCAGAACACGAATTACACAAAAGATAGGTTTAGCCTATCAAGCTCCAAGTGAGTTTAGCTCACAACTCTCCAAAAATGGCTATAGGCCATGACTCTCCAAGGTTTCCCTTCAATACAAATTTCTGCCTACCTATTACTCTCCCTTCCCTCTCTAATTATACTAAGGAGTAAGGACTATTAACCTAGTAACTAATATTACTAGAATACCTATACTACCCTTTCTTAGGTTAGTCTACTACAGATCCCTACTTGAGGCTGGATTCGAAGACCCTTCTACACGTATTCAGCAGAAACAAGCTTGAAAAACAGAGCATTGGAATTCATGGCCACGACATGGGCAATATGGATACATAGAAATGAGATCCGTTTAAAAAAAGGGACCATGTGCCTGATACAATCATGGAGCTCAGTTGAGAATTAAAGTGCAGAGGGGTAAGAGCAGCCAGAAATACCACCACTCGCTGCCAACTTGGGAGAACAAAACAGAATAAATCAAGACTAATGGTATGGCAAAGGGGTCAAATACACCACTGGCAGATGATCTCCATCTTGGTTGATGCCACATGGAAAAAGACGGTCAAAAGGAGAGGAGAATAGAAGGCAGCAGTGGCATGGGTAGCAGACCCCCTCTATGAAGACAGAGTCAATGGATCAACAAGAGTACATGCCATTTCTCCGCTTCAGGCAGAATGCTATGCAATCCAACTTGCACTCAGGACAGTTCCCCCAGATATAAAAAGATGTTATTCTAAAGACTGATTGCCAGGGCACAACTGAGGCCATCCACAACCCGGAAGAGGACTCCGCTCAAATCAGGAATATTGCACATCAAGTTCGACAGGAAGCTGATCGTTTTGACTAATGTACTAGAATAAAAATTACTACGTCGAGTGTCTGTAAACCCACCTTCTGGCAACAGCCACAAGAAGGGGGATGAATTAAGCTTTTTTGTTTACTACTTTGCTATAAAAAATAAAATAAAAATCCTCTTGTAGAATGTGGGGAGAAGTCCATCTAAAATCAGATGGGCAAATCAGTTAAAAATTTCACCTTTTTAATGTTAAATTAAATTTTAAAATCACCATATTAATCCTTCACGATGTCCTTACTATGAATAAAAAAAAAAAAAAGACTATTTTTTAGTTTTATTTTCTCAGATAAGAAAGACTATATGGTGTGGTGAAAAGGTAAGATTTCAAATAGTGAAAAATATTTGTGGTTTACTCAATCTCATACAAATGTGGTCTATTATTAAGGGGCAGAGGGAGTAAATAGAAACATCAATGCTGAGAAGAAAACTGAATTCCTAATGCCATCATGACTTCATGAGTACTCCAAAAGCTAAGTGAAGCCTCAACTCTCAAGCTCTTTCAAACACTGTTGCAAATTTCAAGCTCAGCTTCATTTTGATTTCACAAAGTAAATTTTAATCTCTATTCTGAAATTAAGTTATCGCACATTAACTTTTCCAAAACGAAATACCAATTTAAGTCCAGGAAAAGAACTCAAACCTGATAGACAGTTTTTGAAGCCCGCTTCACAGTCACTTGCAGTTGTAACAAAGCATCTTCAACACGCATTCCACGGATCAAAGCAGCAACCAAATTTACCTTTTTAGGACTCTAGAAGCAACAATTGAACAGAGTTGTTAGACAGGCTGGAATACTAGTTATAATGTCTTCTTGTCATTAAAAAATGCAACCTCAGTCAACCTAGCAAATGGACTAATATGGTAAAAATTCACCAAAACAGCAAAACAACACACAACAGGGAAGCACGGAATGTTAATACATCCAGAATTTGATTTCAACTAAGGCAGTTGCATAATGTATAAGCTGATATGTGAAGCAGATAAGCATTGAGGGTTATAAACATCCAGGGAAAAGAACTTTGAGTATTATAAAGGATTTACATTAAAACAATACCTGCTTTATTCCTTTCAAGATTGCCTGAACCTTTTCAGGCTTTGGTTTTACAGCCTGGTTTTCAGTCTGGTCATCAGTCTTCCCAGATCCAGCCGCTGATATTGGGATCAGAGGGGAAGAGATCGGTGTTGCATCAGAGGGTGAATTTGCAAGCAACGTCCTTGAAGTAGAAATTCCCTGAAACTTTTAAAAGAAAAAAACTAGAATGAATTATGAATTCTGTAAGAATCCCTTGACATCCAACAGAGCATCAATGATGGATAAAAGCCTAAAACAATTGGCAAGACCACCTTTGAAATTATTGAGTGCTACTCAAATGCAAATTGTCAAACCACTCATTAAGTATTTTGAATTTCCATTTAATGCCTACAACATTGCTTTCATGGTCAGGCTGAAAGTCTACAGTTATGAGATACAACTCCCTCCCCATCAACCTACAAAATCAATTCTCGTAAAAATCCATACACATAATTCAACAAAAATAGCAATTACATGCATCTTTAACACAGGAGGGTTCTGCTTCATAGCAAGTTCAGACTAGAAGCAAACACAAACAAAAATGCTCCTGCAAGTTGCAACTTGCATTATCCGTCCATTCAACTACTCTTAAGGGTATGTTATGTTCATCTAATTTCATTATTTCAGGTCTAATATATTCAGTTAAGTTCGAATAAGATAAGTTCAGGAAAAATAAATTTTGATACGGGTTACCAAGTTCAAATTTCAACTAAAATAAGTTTTTAACAAGGTCTAATAAGTATAGGTAATTTGATGTAAGTTCAAATATGTAAAAATTTAGATGAATAGAACACATCTTCTTTTTTTTTTTTTTTTTTTTTTTTTTTTTTTTTTTTTTTTATATGGCACTCATTCTATAACACTCTAATATAAGGTACATATGTAATATTACTTGTTAGCTTTCAATACCAAATTACCAATGCAATAACTAATGCAGAGTAATTCCTTATTTTGTATGCATAAATACCATAACCTTCACAGTCAATTTAGAATGGTATATAAATCAAAACCCACAACCAACTTGAAAACACCTCCACATTTTCACATTCTAAATCCAAATGCAATTTAAAAATCGACCTAATCAATGGATCAACTTTCAAACATCCAAGAAAACAAAATGTAGCAAATGCATAGGACCCTAAAACCCTAAACCCTAAAATTAAGCTTAATCAAAGAATTAATCAAGATACCTGAAGATTGTGAAGCTTGATGTAATCCCAAACTTTCTTCACAGCTTCAGTTCGATAAGCAATGGGAGTAGTAGGCCCATCTCTGAGCCAGGGCAAGAACACCCTTTTCATAGTACCGTCCTAAAAATTAATTTTAGGGTTCTTCAACAAACTAGCAACCAAATTTGGGTCATTTATCAAATTAAACTCTTCTCGATTAAAGTACGAACAGAAAATTTTTCAGCATTTCAGTAATTATTAGATTATAAGCAATGTATAGTTCAATAATCAATCCACCTTAGAAGAACCCTAAATCAAATTAAAATGGCGATTAACACCTGATTGTGAAATTGATATTTGATGATTAAAATGAAAAAATGAAAAGAAAAATGTTACCTCAGGAAGCTGCTTCAATGGAGGAGAGAAAGCTAGATTCAAGCTGTATTACTTAGCGGCTGTTTCAATGGAGAAGAGAAAACTTGCACACTCTTCTGTTCTTCTGCTCAAACTTCGATATTTTCTGTGATTGATTAGATCGGCCCAATACTTTTGGAATCGGCCCATTTTTAAAAAAAACCAAGCCCAATTCCATTGGCCTGCCTATTCATCTAGCGCCTAATTGACCCCTAAGATTTCAATCTTTGCGCACCTTGATCAAACCTCTAAGCTCACAGTTTTTTGGTCCACTATTTATAGAGCAGACACTTAGGAGTAGAGGCCAGGGGAGGGTAAAAAAATCCTTACTCCCTCTGTATTTTAATAAGTGTTATACTTTGATCAAACACGCATGTCGAGACACGACTTTGACCTTAATTTACTTAATTACATGTTAGTAAAATTATAGAAAAGTTAATACTGTGAAAGTATACATTATAACAAATCCAACAATGTATTATACAATAACATTTGTTTTTTAAATATTAGTAAATTAATCAAGTTAAAACCATTATATGAATAGTGAAAAAAGTCAAACAGTAACACTTATTAACATACGGAGGGAGTACCCTTCATCATCCTCACTGGGTAGGATTCGGACTTCACACCTTCAGGATTCGAGGTAAGCTCCATATTAGGTCATATTTAGTACACCTTATTTTTACTTATTTCAGATCAGATCAGAAAAAATAAGTTTAGACCAGAAAAAATAAGTTCAGATACGAAAAAATAAGTTATGACATACTTATCGTTTTATGTGTTGTTTTTTTATCACTAAATATCTTTAATTTTTTAATTAAAATTTTTATAAAAGTTACATATTAATAAAAACATATTATTACGAATCTAACAAATATACATTTTTTTCTTTATTGATTATCGTACATATAAAGTTAAAGTTTGGTCAAATTAGACAATCAGATTAGATCAAATCGAACCAGATAATTTCTGATCAGATAAGCAAAAGTAAGGCGAACTTAACAAGCCCTAAGTCGCTAACACTTAGTTGGTTCATTTATTTATATATGGATGGCTCGATGTGTTTGTCACTTGCCAATTCACGTGTGGTCTCATACTCTCATTATCCACATACAACTCTAGGGGCTCTGAGAGTCTCCTGGTTCTGAGATCAAACTCTGTCTCCTCAAATTGTTTTTGTTTTTATTTTCTTTTCTTTTGCAGGTATTGAAGCTAGCTCAAGTTTGCTACACCGTTCCGTCCTCTCCCTCTTCTCCACACCCCTTCTACCATGGCTAAACTCCCCTTGGGGATATTAACATGGAAGATGATGTCTCCTTGGATCATAATGAAGATCCCAACTTGAACCACCCACTTATAGAGTCTAAAGTAATCCCTAATGGAGATAACTCTTCCATTCAACCCTTAATCCAAAAACCCTCCATGTCTTTTCGTGAAGCTGTGAAAAGTTCGTCTCAATGGTTCAATGAAGCTCGGGAAATAGTTATTTCTTCCTTACAATGGGAAGAAGAAGCTATCACTGTCCCTGACTCAGCAAACACTGTCTTTTTTGCCAAAGAAACTTTAGAAAAGCTTCGTCACCCTTGGAAACTAACCATAATAGGGAAATGTCTAGGGATATCTGTCCGACCCTCATTCATTACCCAAAGAGTTAGGGCGATGTGGAAACCTAAAGGCACCCTCGAAGTCATTGATTTGGGCAAAGATGTTTACCTATTTAGATTTTCTGTCTCCGGTGACTATGAACGTGCTCTTCTTGGAGGTCCTTGGTTCATATTAGATCATTATCTTTTGTTAACAAAACAGAACCCCAACTTCCGCCCTTCTATTAACCCCTTTAATAGAATGACTGTTTGGATCCGCTTTTCGGAATTACCAATGGAATATTATGATAAACTTGCCCTTTTTCAAATTGCTAAACTTGCGGGCAAACCAATAAGGGTTGATTATGCCACTGACCACCTTACCCGAGCTAGATATGCAAGAGTTTGCATCGATATCGATCTCACAAATCCATTGGTCACTTCAGTTTGGGTTAGCATTGGTTGGCAACAAATCGAATATGAAAATATTCACGCTCTTTGTTTCAAATGTGGTATCATAGGCCATCAAAAAGAAAATTGTAAACTTTTTGATAAAGGGAAGCAGCCTATATCCTACGTGCCCAACGAGCCCAACAACTCTCCCATTCGTAAAAAAATATCCAACCCCACTTGGGTAGTGGATTACCAGTTGTAAACCAAGTCCAACATTCTAGCCCATCCCATGTGTCACATGTGGCCCATGCGTCAACCTCTTCTGATGATCCAATTTTTCAACCTTTAGACTTATATGGCCTTTGGATGATAGTTACCAATAAAAAACTTCTCATTTAAAAACAATTAATAAGATTCCAACCCACCGACTTCCAAAATCAAATAGCAATAGGAATAAATTAATTCCTAAAAACACCTTAACCGAAATGACTCCCACTTCTCCTCCTTCCCAAGAAAACCCCTTTCTTATTCTAGCCAATAATGGAGCTTCTGAATAAATCTTATCCCTAGCAAAATACATTTCAGCCGAAATTCTCTATAAAGAGAATTCTATTCTACAAGTAGCTGAAAAGCCTTGCGTGTTATCTTCATTTACTGCAGCTACTTCTTCAGGACCTTTTGGACACTTGGCAATGGAGGTGGAACAACCAACCAACGCCACGGAAATCCACCCACAAACCCTTCATCTCCCCAATTTAAACCCATTTGATGAAATTAATCCCACCACTGATATAAACCCCTCCTTAATTCTTTCAAACACTGATAATCAAACCTTGAACCAAAAACATGGAAAACAATCAATCAAACCCCCTAATTCCCTGCCGATCAAAGAGAATTCTAGCTCGTCCACCACAGTGAGCTCGTCGGAATAACCCTCCATCCTTGGAAAACTGCCAACCATCACCTCCGCCATCTCCTCATACCCCTCTGCCAAGCCGTAGCTCCCCCTCGACTGAATTATCCCTAGCGCCACCGCTACAGGGAATTTCGATTGCCCGTCCTCCACCTCCCTTCACTCTCCCCCATTTCCCACAAATGATACTACCCCAAAACCGACAACCATTAGTAAATCGACCCTCTCCGTCAACCATTTTCACCCCACCAAAGACGATTGAGGAAATTCAGGAAATTATCTGATCATCCCCAAACCAGAATCGATACAGACCTCCCACCCTTCTCCTATGGGCGTCGATCGACAGCCCTCCAACTCCGGAGAAGATTGCTTGATGCAGATTTCGCTCCTGCAACTCAACAAAATCTCCACCAATCCACAACCCCCTTTTCCTCCCATGTCACCGAAACCGAGATGGTGTCGGGATCGTGCGCACCTTCTCAACCTGAATCCTCTTATTCCTCCTCCACACTTGGGAAACCTAGTCACTCTTCTCTATCTTTCGATCCCATAGAGAAAGACGTCTAACAACCGGAAAACCAAACTAAATCAGAATTACTCAAACCATATCAAATTAGACAAAATTATACGAACTATATGAAAAATAATAGTATGATTTTTATTGGTCATGACCATTAACTATGATTCATTAATCTATATCGTGTGTGTTTCGGGTGTTTCTTGAGTCCCTCGGGAGAGTTACAATATTGAGTATGCGCGTCTAACGTCTGTACCTGCAAAACTACGAAACTCCGATTGGGTGGAGTTCCGCCTTCGACGATCAAGTTAGTATGATTCCGGATGGGTAAACGGATGGAAAGTAAATGGGTTTTTTCTCACTGATTCAGAGAGATTCCGCAATTAATATTGCTCGGGTTTTGTGTATATATTTATGAACGAGTAATAAATGAGGAATTTCCTCTATTTATAGCAGATGAGGATCTACTCCCACATTGGAGGTACAACGCCACGTGTCAGCATCCGATTGGATCCCGTTGGGTCTCTGGTGGGCTGCCACGTGTCATCATTCTACTGGGCCACGTAGCACAGGGTATTTTAACCCTAAACATTTTCCCCTCACAGGTGTGACGTGGCTTAGCCACGTGTCACCTGTGACACGTGTCAAACGGCGGGGAGACGACGGTTGGGTCTGCTTCCCGCCTTTTTTTTTTCTTTAAGCTTGAATTCGAATGTTTGAGGCAGAAGGTGACGATTCGCCTTCCGGGTTTGTCTATAAATAGAGACGCGTCCCCTCTCTCTCCTCACTTTATAAATTTTGCAAAAAATTCCTTTGAGAGCTTTGATACCGGCTGCTTAATTGTGCAACTAGCTTCCTTGTTCGAACGCATCCGGATACCGGTTGAGTGCTTCTTCAATCAACTCCCCTAGGTACCGTCTGGCTCTTGATTTCTTTTTTGATTTGAGAACTACAGACGGTCTTAAACCGTTTGGGGCACCTCAAGCCTTTTCTTTCATGTCTTGCATTTGATAGACCCACAGACGGTTTGGACCGTCTGGAATTTCTTCAGACCATGGACTTTCTAACAATGCATTCCATAGGCCCACAGACGGTGAGATACCGCCTGCGGCATCTCTAAACAACTGTCTTCAAGGGGCTAGATTCAATGGACCCACAGACGGTTATATACCGTCTGGGGGCATCTTCAGACAATAGTCTTAACATTTTGCATTCAATAGACCCTCAATCGGAAATATTCCGCCTGAGTCATCTTCAAACAATTGCTCATCAAAACTTGCATTTCATAGACCCTCAGACGGCTAGTAACCGTCTGGGATACCTTCAAACAAAGGATCTCCAAATCTAGACCCACAGACGGTTTTGGACCGTCTGGGGCATCTTCAGACAATTGCTCTTCAAAACTAGACCTACAGACGGTTATGGATCTTCTGGGGTATCTTCAACAATTGTTTTTCCAAAACTGGGATCTATCATACCCTCAGCCGGACGTATGCCGGCTGGGGTATGCTCGAGCAATTTTCTTCATAAGTAGCTCATGATCAGCTCTTGTGAGACCCTCAACCGATTCTTATGCTGTCAGGGGGGTCTGAGCATCTTCATGGAAACCGCTTGTGGTATCCTTGAGTTGCTCTTTTAAACCATTCAATTGACCCTCAGTCGGTCTTATCGCCGTCTGGGGGGCTTTTGAGCA